TTCAGATTTCGGAATTATGACTTTAAAATTCGAAAAATTTGAAATTTTAAACTTTTCATTTTTAAAAAAAATTAATTTTCTGGGTTAGGTAACATGGGAGCTTTTTCAATTTTAACACAGCTGTCAATCTTATCTACTGACCTTTAATTTGGTATAAGGGGCGCATCTTTGTATTTGATCTGGTTTGGGAGTTTTGGAACTGTACAATAATCGTTGAAAATTGTGTCTCCCTTCTGTTATACAAATATTCAACTTAACAACCGAGTTTCTCTCACATTTGAAAAAATTAATAGCCCGGATAATATCATATGGCGTGTCTCATCTGTACAGCTCTTTAAGTCTTGTTTTGATTTAATAATTTTTGGGAATGTGCTATTTTCTAAACCATGAACTTGTTCGACTACATTTTGCTTTTGTTCCATAGGAATTTTTCACATACAAATTTTTATTTTTCTTAAAAAATAAATCCATAAATAATAAAAAACTTTCATAATTTAAAAAAATGTTTATTAAAAACACAAACACAATAATAATAATGAGAACTGAAAATGCTGAAAATGAAAGGAACCATAATGAAAAGAAACCAAATAATAATGTTATAAAATAACAATCCAAGGTAACTTATAGTCATAAATATAAGGATGCTCCTCTATATTTCTTAATGATAAATTTTCTAACAATATTTCAAATTTTATATGATTTTTATATTATACTAAATGAGTTTCCATAAATGAAACCATGTATAAAAATTGTTCATTCATTATTCATAAAACAAGAAGAATAAAATTTTCAAATTTCGTTTTTCTTCAATTTGCTAATTCTGCTAAAAGTGTTATGGACACGTGTATTGGAAAAGATTCAGTAAATATTTCAATGTTAATATTAAAAATTTAAGATGAGTAGAGCGTAATTAAACTCATTGTGTGTTTTCCTAATAAAATTATTAACAAAATTGTGTAAATTAGTTATTAAAAGTTTGTTTTTTGTAGGCTCATTTTCTTTCATTGATCTGAAAACATTTTTGATCGCCGGAAAACATTTAAATATAAAATATTAAAGAAAATCTTTTAGAGTTGTTGGCTAATTTAATTAATTAAGTTTTAAATATAATTATTGTGTATTTGTTCCGTATTTGAGATTAAGTTGCTAAATCCTGAAAGCTACATTTCATATCATATTTAATTCGTATTAATATTGTTTGTAAAGTAAATAATCTGTAATTCCAATTCAGAAAAAAGATTTTGATCATATCATTGAAAAGTCAGTTCTCGCCTTTTCACGCTTTGAATTTCAACCTATAGAAACAGGTTACCTTCATCGATTTAAAAATAAATTGATTATAAGTTGAAACCATTGGACTTCAGTATAGCATGGAAAGGGCATTGAAATAATCTGAACAAATCCAGTCATGGTCACATTGATCAAATTAGGACCTATTGGAAAAGCTTGTAGAATTCTATACAAATGTTTTTCACAATTACCTTGACAAATTGATTCTAAGAGGGCTCATACTCCAAAACAAGTTCCTTAAGGCACATGAAATGAAATCAATTAAATATAATGAAACATGAGGTAGCGTTAAACCCTCATTGTTCTTTATGAATACATTTAATTAACTTTAAGCGAGTTATTTTAAGAGATAACCTTGATATTATTATAAAAGTCTTTAATATGTGTTCTTTGAATATGTTCTTACAAAATTTTGGATATTGCCACGAATATGGTTAAATATTTTTCGTTGGACTTTGATCAGGATCTTGCAAAGCAATTGCCTTAATTGTTAGCTGCTTTTCCTTAACAATATAATCATGAAAATGTACATTCATAAAATATAAACATTGTTCATTTATTCTTTAATTTTAAGTAGTTGGAAGTAGTTTAGTATTCAACAATATATTGGACATAATCCAAAATTTTAGTAAATAAAACAGTATGAATGCACACTATAATCAATTTTAGTTTCTATAAAATTATGCAACTACATAGAACTCATTACACACTATGTAAAGAATCTATACTTCGTCTACTTCCGAATTACCATATTTTGTATCAGTCTGCTGTATTATAGCATTATTAATAAATAAATAGCTCATACTATTTTCGTTTTAAAATTAAATAATTTATACCAGACATAATTTGAAGTGAAATAATAAAAAATTTTGTAGTAAAGTAATTAAATTTTTTTTTTCTTAGAGCTACTTTATTTAAAACATTTTATTTTTTATTGACTGTCCCATAAAAATATCAACTTGTTATAACAAACTATTATAAGTCTCTCTCAAAAATAAATAAATTTATTGTATTCTGACCATATTGAACGTATACGTATAGCATACAATGTAAGTGTGAGTGTTCAACTATACATTAAGTACCTTGTTATATTCAAGTGGGTTGTTTTTTTTTTATTATTTGTGTTTAAAGAACATAAAAAATTGCATATAAAATTTATTTTTTCTTTAAAAAAATATAAAAAAAGAATAATGCAAAATTTACGTTATTATATAGCTTGAGGAAAGCAACTATAGGAAAAACATTTTATTTATGAATTGCTTTTAAATTTCCGATGTTACAAACTTAGTGAAAACGGTTCGAATTAAGAAATAATGAAAGTTAAGGTTACCAGAAGTACCTCGACCCCGTTTTAATTAATTTATTTACTACAGAGATGGGACGGGGGCTGTATTTGCATAAATCTTGTGTTCTTTGAATTCCATAATTATATTTGTATTTGTGGAACGGAAAACCGTACATTTTATAGTCACCAAATATTAGTTTCGGGAATTTAATGTAATAGTAATTAACATGATCTCAATACCTTTCTTAACTCTAATATTTTCAAATTTTGACAATAATTTCATACTATTTTCAGTTTAAAAGATTTCAACCTTACATTTTGATTAAAATTTTGTGGCAGCCTTGTTTTCTACCCAATTAACTTGGAATTTAAGGATTTTACTTAATAAGAAAACATCGTTTTGGGGGCATATAAATGATTATTTTCAATCCACGTAATACTCACAGAAAATGATTTCGATGAATTTGATACTTTTGAGCTGTTTTAAAGAACACTTGATTATTATTTGGCATAATTCTTAGGCATATACTGAATATGTCAGTTACAAAGCGAGAAATTTTTTATTTGTGTTCCAAGGATTGAAAAAATTATATTTGAACAGCTGGTTACCCAAATATTATTCCTGTGGTAGACACAACCTCTACACACATTGTATCATTTTGATTTTTTATCAAAAACCCTCTATTTTTCTGAAGTTATAGCAAAAAAAAATTGTTTTTTTTTGATTAAATTTCGAGAACAGAATGTGTTTTTGGCATAAAGGATATTTAAAGGACATTGTATAGTATTTTTTATATTATTATACATATGTATACAAGTGTGATAATTTAGTTTTCAAATTTTTTACTTTAACTATTACAATGATAAATTGTTTTGCAAAATACTATTTTTATTTTTTTAAATAGAAAGTTTTTGTAATGTGGTTTTCCAATTCTGTACATTTATATTTAGTATTTCTGGACAGTAAAAATTTTTGTGTTCATGATAATTTTGCTTGACCTATGAAAGTTATATATGGTATGACCACAAAACTTTTATGAATATTCATTTTGATCCCTTCTATATGAAGAAAAACTATACGGATTTAAAAAAAAGAAAATTTAATGGTTATATTAACCTAAAAAAATTATAAATTTTAATAAATTTTTTCAAGGAAAATGTTGGGTACACTGCGGTTATACACTGTACACAATAAAAATGTTTGACAATTTTGTATATAATTTATGGTTAATAAGTAATTTTATGTAATAATAATGACTTTAACCTATACTACTATAAAATTTATTATGAAATTTTGTTAGAAAGGACATTTTGTATTACCAGTAGTTTAACAGTGTGTAAATTTATTTTATAATTGTGTTAGATTAAATACTTGTGATATTTCCATGAAATTCACATGAATGTTTTAATGTAATTTATGAATATTCTTTTGAGGCTCAGATGGTGTTAATGTAAGCAATTAAATTTTATTAAAAAATTTAAAACATTTTTGACTGCCAAATTGAAACAACCTTGCATTATATGTCATATGGTACGAATTCGGATTTTGTAATTTGGAAAATCCAAATGAGTTCTTGATGCCGTCACTTTCTCTTAACTGAAGGTCAACTAAAGAATATATTTTTAAAAATTTTCCAATTGTTTTATTAGTAAATCTTGATTTCAATAAATTGATGATCGCAGTTGCCGTATGGTACTCGTATGTTTTATCTGTTTAAATCACATTCGGTCCCGATATTGCTGGATTCATAATATATTGCAGGATTCATAATACTTTTCAAACGAAAAATCATTATTCAGTAACGCTTTTCATTCCGGAAATGAATGCTATTTCCACACCGTTAAAAAAATATTTCGGTGACGAAACTATCGTGAATTTTAGAGGGTCTTCTTCATACTTCACGCCAATTTGTTAGTAAGTAATACACAAATTGTTTAAGTTCAAAAAATATGTTTATTTTAGATCTCTACATCTACTCGTATAACAATAATACCTCAGTTTGAAAAGTACAGTGGCAAACTGAAATTTTTACTATTTTAAAATCTTTTGGGGAAATGATTCAGCTATTTCAGCGCTGTGATTTGATGCTAAAACTACTTCGATATCTTGCTGTTTTTTTGTTGTTTACCAAAAATTTCCTATTTTTACAATTAGATTTTACTAAATTTTTTAATACTTTTCAATTCTAGGAAAATATTATTAAATTATCCTTAATAATAAAAATCATTATTGATCAAATCCTTCCGGATATTTTCATAAATCTTAATAAAAAAATCCAAATATTCAATTTTAATTAAAAGTGAAAATTTAAAGAAAAATAAAATAATCGAAAATATTTTTTTTTTTAAATCAAAATTTAATAATCAAAATCATTTCAAAATAAAATATGTAGACCAAAAAAAAGAAACAATTAAATTAAAAATATGGAAATGAAAATTACAAAACTTGAAAAATACGAAAAACAAATTTATTATATGGAAAATATTTTGATTTTCCTCTTAATTGATGCACTAATTAAGGATTAAAATTTAATATAAAAACAAAATATAAATTAAATATAAAAACACAAAATATTTTGTTTTTGGTTTACTTAAATGCACAATTATGGCAATAATGAGATCATGTTGTTTTTGGAAAACTGTACGAAGTGGAAGTTATGCGTGTGCAATTTATACACTGGTAAGTTTTATTGATTAATTAATTTGTTTTACTTAATATTATTACCAACCAAATTACTCTATGCATAAGTATGTGTGAATATACATATTAATGAATTTAGTATGATGTTCAAATTAAAGTGGACTACACTAGCACGTGATTTTTCCCAATTAATCACAAAGAATAATAAGTATGTAGAGTGATGATTGATTTTTAAAATGAATACTTCAAATATTTTAAAACGTTGGAAACTTGAAGACGTAGAAATTGAAAAAGTCCAAAAATTGGGAATGTTATATCTGGTTTGTATATTTGGAAGAAGACGCTATTGCTCTTAGCTTTCAAACTCAGATTTTATCCTAGCTTTATTGTAAACGCAATCGAAACTATTTTGCTCATACAAACAAAAAACTAACAAAAAAAATTCAAATTATCTTAAGCTGGAGTTTCTTGAGCCGATGGGCATTGACTTTTAACTGATCATAATAATCTATGCAACGGTATTTAAAAGTTCCTGTACTTATAGACCATTGGTAAACCGGAGCATTACAACTATAAGACTAATTAGAACAATACCAAAACATCTTATTTTCAAGTTTAACGAAGAAATTCGAACACATTTGTATAATGCTCAACCGCTTAGGCCTCTTCCAGACAAAACAGACAGTACTACCTCTCCCTCTTAAATTTTCTTTTCGGATGCAACACATAAAGGGATAAAATCCAATAAATCAGTTCCGGATGGCTCAACACGGTAAATTATGATCCCACTGCATTTCGAACAACTAATAAATTGTTTGAGTGCGATAACCTTGGATTATTTCTAACATAAATCATCTTGGATCTTTTCTTCCTAATCGTTCAAGGCATGTTGGGTGTTCTTCTTTAATTGCATATTAAAATTTCCTTAATTTTTCAATATTATTTCGGAAATATTTGGATATCCTTTTGGGAATTTAATATTTTTCTACGTATTTAAAACGTTTTACGATCTTTTTCACTCTCATAATTAAAAATAATATAAAATTTTGCCATTATTAATATTTTACTATATATATCAACTACAATTTCTTCATACAAAAGGTCTTTTCTTTTCCATTCAATAAGAAAGAAGTTTTTGGTTATTTAAGTAAAATCCTGTATTACTAAATAAAGTCTACCAAAAAAAAAAAAAAAACAACAACATAATTTTCTTAACAAAATTGAAAATCATTGACCCAAAAATCATATATATTTGGCAAATATTTCAAAATTCTATTCAAAATTAAGCTTGCTCATAAAAAAACCAACATAATAAGACCCAAAATTAGCTAAAAACCTTATAATAATAATAAAAGACTCGTAATAAATATCAAAATAGAATAAACATTATGAATGTGTAAATGTAATCATAATTATTATGTGCTCATGTGCTATTGTACCAAAACAATAGCATTGTCCTGTTAAGAATCTAATAATTATTCATCAGTAATACTTACATAATATGTACTTGTATGTAGAAATATGTATTGTTCCCAAAATATCCTAAATAAATATTATAGTAACCGAGAAAATTAAAATAATAATTATAAAATTTCGAATATGCAAATTTACTGGTCTCTTATGTTACCCTTCGAAGCAGATTTTTATATTCTATAAATTTTGGAATCAAGATTTCTATGTCTTTTTGCTAACTATAAATCTAGTGTCATACAAATCGGAATGTATAACACTAGATTCATTTTTCCTGTTTGTAGCATTTTCTGTAAATTCCATACGTTTCTGAGTTCTATTATCATTATTTCCACCATTTTCCAGAGGCTCTATTTTTTTTGAGGTTTTATAGCAATGCATTTTTTCACAAGGAAAGGTTTCTAACCTTTCACCCAACCACCTCTTTTTTAGGGTTATGATGGTGCGTCTGTTTATTTATTCCAGTTCGATTTTCACTATTTTTATACCACAAATTCTCGATTTAATGTCAACCAGCATAATTTACTTAAAGTTGTTGAATTCTAACGTCAGGGATGTGAAAACAATTAAAATTTTTTATTAATAAAATTTGCATTATAGTTTTGTCTCAAAAATCTTTAATTTATTTTTTTTTTATGAAAAGGTCCTTTAATTGTTTACAACAATTTGGCTGAAAAAATGTTGTTAATTTATTTATAATTCCTTCGTATTTTGTCTGGCTATTTATGTGCTTATTCATATTATGGCAAAACCACTTCTTTTACGTTGGCGTGTCTATTTTTAAAAATAAAGCAACATACATTGGACATAAAATTTTCAAAAAACAAAAAATTCCATGTTATGTGACACAAATTTCAGATAGTCTAAAATTTTATTGACTAATTAGTCATTAAAAAATTCACCAGGAAACACCTAAAATGATAGAAGTTTACAAAACATTTTAGAATAGGGCACATTTTTTCTACACTTCCAATATTTTGAGACGACAAATTTCGCAGGATAACACGCTGTAATCACATTTAATTCTAAAAAATTACAAAACTTATTTACCAAATTGTATAAAACCTAAGACATAAGAACAAACCTACAAAATTTATTGCATAATATTTGAGATTTTGAATTTCTCAACTAAAATATTAGAGACCGCAAAATATTGTAGGTATTTAAAATTTAAAATCACAATATCTTTTGGTGTATTAAGAAAATATTTTTCTGCAGTAATATAAAACTAAATTATTTTCCAATAGTTTTCCGAAATTTCTGAAAAATATATCATAAGATTATTTTCTAATTCCGCAACAAATTATATAGTGTAACAAGTTTATTGCCTTTTCATATTAAATCATTAAATTTTTTAGGTATATAATGTTTTCAAAATAATTTTACCAAAATAAATTTTTATAGCATATGGCAGGGGTGTCCAAAACTATAGCTTATGAGTCATATGCGGTTCATTGAAGAATTTTTTATGACTCTCTATAAATGTATCCGCGAGTATTTCCATACTTTCTTTAAATTACACAAAATATGAGTAAAAAAATATGAGTAAGTTCAACGTTAGAGAGTAACCGCACTGTTATAAAAAATTATATTTCCGCCCAAGTGAAAAACGATATAACTCAGCGAAAACTGTGCGAATAAAGATAAATAAAGAGCGGCTTAATCATGTGTAATCGATTGACTCCATACCGATTTTGAATTTGTAGACTTTCTTTATATTTTGAGTATTAACGTAAAAAATTTGTATCACTATTGTTATACGAAATGTAATTTATAGTCTGCAATTCAGAATATATTAATTTTTAAATACCGTTTTAATTGCGTCTCACGAAAAAATTTGAAATTTTAAAAAAATTGCCCCAATTATCAAGGAGCGTGGCAAAACCCTGAAATATGCAATTTTAATTCAATTTAATGAAATAACTATAATATACGGTTTTACCCATATGCGTCACATACAATTTTATAGATAATTTATTACGATCACTTTTTGTACAATATATTTACGATATTGTATGCCTTTATATTAAAGTTTTAGATTTAATTTACTATTTTATTTATAGTGTACAATTAAAATTTCGAGTACCTATACATTTTTAGTTCTTATACAATTCATGTGTTATACTTTTCTGTATAAAGAAATAAAATGAATGAAATATAATTAAATATTTATATACACATGTTACCATGTTTTATATTATCGTACATTAAACTTAGAATATCCTTAATGTAATAATAACATGGGTTCTTTTCAAGGTTATTATATGTAATTTTACTTTAACATCCGTAATAAATTTATATTGTTTGTATACAATTACTATATAAGTGTGTATAACAAATTCATGTATTTAAGAAAATTTCGTGTATATATTACATAAAAATAAATTTAATTCCATTATTATTTACCCAAAAAAAAAAATATAGAAAAGTCAGTTTATATTCGTACAATTGTTATATTAACATTAATTTTATTATTAAATAATTAAAATTCAAATTAATTAATTTTTCGTAATTATTTTTGTTATACATTAATATTATTAAACTTAAGAAATATTGTTATATTGTATGACAGTTGTTTGTATGACAAAAGTCTTCATACAGCCCATTCTAAAATTTTGTTTTTTGAATAGTAAGCCTAGTTATCTATGACGAATTTGAGTGAAGTTTAATTAAGTGTTGATTGTTGTTTAAATTGGTTTTGGGATATGATTAATATTATTTTTGAAGCTGTATGGAAGCCATTTTTAAAAATTCATATACATAAATGGAAAAGTCGTCGTATTTCAAATTTGAATATACTATAAGCTCTATATTTTCCATCCGATCGTTTCTCTTTATAAAAATTCTACACATTGTGAGATAGCAACTTGAAATTCACTACATAAATATGGGTCTTTGTGAGATAATTTTTAAAAATCAATTGCACCTTCTTCTCCATTATAAAAATAGATTCACCTACCTTCTCCATTCTAATAACTTCACCTCTTAACAAGAAATTTGCTACTTTACGAATTTAATCTGATTTCTTTAATATGTCCGGAAAAAAAATATTTTACAGCATAGTTTTCATTATTCTAATTAGAGCCTTAATTATTTTAATTATAGAGCGTATTCATAATATTTCCGATCAATTTATATCCTGAGTGATTTTAATTTTAATATAATTAATAAAGTGATTCCATTGTACTGAACGTTAATACTTTATTAATATTTTAAATTATCCTCCTTAATAAGTTCTTTGTTTTCATCTACGCGTGTATAAATTTTCTCGTATAATTTTAATTAAAAGCATACTTAAATATAAAGGTATACAAAAAAATTTATACTTATAACTATTTTAAAATGGATACTATTCCTGGTCAGGGTTCAAAATGGGGCATAGAATTTATTTTAGAACATTGACGGATACTAAATGGCTTAACCATTTATCTCTTTCCCCTTGCTACTCTAGTTTTTAAGTACAATAAATTTATTCCCATGCGAACTTTCAAAATCTTGAAATAGACCTACAACTTATACTTTTTTATGACTTGAAAGTTAAAAATCCTAATTATGTAGCCTAATTATGT